CGCCCGGTGCCAAGGCGCTGAGACAGGAGGAGGAGGCGGCAACCACTCGAGGCGGCTGGGGCACCTCGGGGTGGGGGCTTCGCACCGCGGCCATGGCGGCTCCCTGACCATGTGGTGGCAAACGATGACTCCATGGCTGCTGGTGATGGTGGGCATGGCGGCGGCCGCGAATCTGGATCCCACCCAGATCCGTCGATTCTTCACTTGGATGGTCGGCGGCGCGATGAGAGCTCTGGTGAGGAGTCGGCGGCATACGTCTTCATGGCGAAGCTCCGCGCGGTTCCAGCCAACCGCGAGATCGAGACGACACGGCTTCCGGTGAGTGCCCACCTGACTGCGGTCTTGGTGGACGATGACAACGTCTCTGACATTGTTCCCTTCTCGAGGCATCGTTGTTGCTGGTCACGTCAACTCGATCGGGATGTTTCGGGGGAAAACCTATATCTGGGTCTACCGGATCGGACGATGACGACGCCTTCGGTGTCGTTCTCCCTCCTAGGGGCATCATTTTGGAGTAAGTATTGTCTAGAGGGGGCAAGAGGAGGAGCGGTGTTACATCTACCGCAAGGACGATGGTGGGTACCGACGACATGGTGATGTGGTGTTTCGGTGACGGGCGCGTGTGGATGGATACGTGCAGGATGGTGGTGTTGTCTGGCGCCATGGTGGTGTCGACAGCAGGCCGTACAAAGGTCGTGCGTCAGTACCTGCTCTAGAGATGGATTGGTGGAAGACGGTGGCAGCGGCCTCTAAGAGTGCGTCAGACCGGTGTGTGGCCCAGTCTCGGCATTGTGGCTTGGCTGGGGCATCCGGCTTTAGATGTTAGGCTTTGGTGCGATGTCTGTTTGGTATTCGTCTCGGACATTCGGCATCCCTACATCAAGGGGATAGGAGTAGCAACAGGTGTTGCTAAGATGGTGGCTTCATACTTACTGATGTATTACTTTGTAAGGTCTTTGTGAATACTTAATAAATGATTGCATGCATCGCCCAAATACAGAAGCCGGGGGTATATCCTCATTTTCTAAAAAAATATCTAACAAACCTTTTGAGTTAAACCTCAACTAACCGAACCCTCAAACATATAAGTAACTTCTAATTTTCATTAGGAGTTGAGCCTAAAAATAATCGTTTTTTCTCAAATTTGAGCAGCCCATGCAACTTTTTCTAAACCCTCTCTCTCCTCCTCTGACGCCCAGCAGCACGCAACACCTCCCGGTGGCCCATCTACCTCTCCGGCAATGCATACAACCTCCTAGGGGACAGTCGTGACCATGCATGTGCACCCTCGTTGAAATTTGGCGAGATTCCACGGAGAATCCGATGGGATCGCCTCCCATCAAGGACGGAGGTGATAAAACAAAATGGAGCTAGGTATGGTCGTTACCCCCTTTGTGTTGTCCGAGAGACGGGACACCACATCTTCTCGTGCCTAGCGACACAATTCCTGTGGTGCTATGTCCATGAGGCTCTGGGGGCCTAGGTCCGAACCTGTTTTGCGGCTGCTCCAAACCCGGGCCAACCAAACTGAAAGGAGAAGACGCCTCTTCTGATTTGTGTTGGTGGCGTTGGCATGGATATGGACAATACATAACAAGTTGGTTATTAAGGTCTTTCTTTCCAACGGGCCTGTGACTCAGTGTTTAAATTATTAGTCTTTTTTAACATTGGCACCCACTATCAAATAAAGGAGTCACGATCCGCTTTGGCAGCATGACGAAGGCGATGACTATGGCCGTGCGGCGCCTTGCCTGGCCTCAGGGTTCCTGAGATGCCAGCCATTTGGTGGCCTTTTTTATTCTTTGTTTTATTTTCTTTGGATGTGTTCGTGCTGATGCTCCACCAGATATTACTATTTTCTTTGCTGCATTTGGACTTGTTTGTATTGACTATGTGTTTGCTTTATTTATAAAGCTGTGTGAAAGTATCAAGTATGTTTCGAGAGAAAATTATCCTTATGTATTCGTATTTTCCGTGAACCCTCATATGTAGGAAGGATATGAGGGCGTATCAATGTGTCCGAGCATTCCGTTACTTTGAATTTAGCACATCCGGATCAGGTTTTATTTATTTTTATCTTCATCTTCAGTAATTATACCGGACGTATACATATAAAGAGGTTCAAGCGTACCGGATAGCGTTCGAATCGCCAAATTAGCGCAGTTCGTTTGTAGATACTCTGAGCTTTTTTTTCGATTCACAAGGTGAAATTCAGTCTTAGAGCATCTCCAGCCGCGCCCTCAACAGGCCCCTCAGGCGACTTTTCGCGCCGGCGCCAAAAAATGCCCCAGTCACGCCCCCAAGACGACGAAAAACGCCGGTTCGGCCCTTTTTTCCGCCCGGCGGCCGCAGGCCGAACCCGGCGCGTTGCGGGCGGTCGGGGGCTCCGGCGCAAGGGAAAAGCGCGGCTGGCCCACGCAGTCAGGTGAAAAGTCAAGATTTTTTCCCCCGACTCGCCTCCCACCCCCCGCGCCCTCGGCGGCCACTAGCTATATCCCGCGCCACCCGCCGCCCTTCACCGCTAGATAGCCATTCCCCGCCGAAAAAATAGCAGAGGTTCGCCGCAGCAGGCCCTACGACAGCAGTTGGGCGTTTCCGGCCGTGGAGGGGCAGTTTAGCGGCGGGTGCACGCCCATCGGGCGACACGTGTGATGAAATATGAGTTTTTATTTGTTGAACTATATAATTTGTATTCAACTATTTGTTGTTGTACTATTTTGTTGAAGTATTTGATTTTTCTGTGATAAAATATATGATAAAAAATATATTTATGTTGATAATTGAACAGCCTAGCCACGGCGAACCACGCCGAATATGAGCCTATTCTCTCTCATATGGGCTTTATTCGCCGAAATGGGGCTGGAAAATGGGCCAACATCGACGCCTGAGGACGAGCTGGGGACGGCGACTGGGCACAAAACCGCCCCAACGCCGAATGTATTGCCGGCTCACCCTCAAGGGACAATTTTTATGCGTCCTGGGGACACGGCTCCTCTGCCGTGCGCTAGGTGACGTTGGGCCACTGACATGTGGGCCATGTTTCCCACAGGCCCACATGTCAGTGGTAGAACGGCAGGCTGCCGAAAGGTAAAGGATCCTCGCGCGCGTCCTGGAGGCCAACGGTTGGAGATGCTCTTACTAATTTACTATCAGAGTGATCAGACTGACCGGAGGATAGCAGACTTCTTCAATACTCGCACGACCCGACGCGGCTCCCCTGACGTGCCGTTGACACACTGGCATGTGGACCCGGGCCCACATGTCAGTGGCCCCACGTCAGGGGGCAGTACGCCGACGGCAAGACCCACCTTCCTCTGTCCGTGTCTCAGTAGCAGCCCCCGACCCCAACGGACTCTCAGCCGCCTCCTGCTCTGCACACCGCACACAGAAAATGGCGGCGGCGGCGGTGCGATGTGCTGAGGAGCTGGTTGAGAGAGAGATGAGCGGACGCGACGCCTCCCACGACGCCGCGCACGCGCTCCGCGTCCGGGACCTCGCGCTCTCCCTCGCCGCCGAGCAGGGCGTCTCCTCCCCCGACCGCCTCCTCATCGTAACAACCCCTCACCTCTTCCTCTGTCCTTCGCCAGTTCTTCCACTCGACGTGCGAAATTTTGCTGATCGATATTTTTGGTTTAAAATGCGCGGGGGGTGATTGCTCCAGGTGGAACTGGCTGCTCTCCTGCACGACATCGGTAAGTCGCAATCGCCCCACTGCTTCGTTATTGATTGTGTCTACGGATTTGCTCGAGCCGATTCGCTCTCGATTTGAACAAACTGATGGGGGAACTCCCATTTCTTGCTACCTCTGTTCGTTCAGGTGATTACAAGTACACCAAGTGAGAAAACTTCACGTTGCTTTGCTAAATGTCTACTTTCGATCTTGAAGAGTGAGAGCAAAGTTGAGCTAAGAGTTAGCTAAACTGTGATCTCATAGAAGTCTTGTACTGTTTTTTGTTTGACGGTTGTACTGTCTTGTCCGGTCGTTGAGGAGTGTTCTATGCTTGGTAAGTGAATCTGATGGGATGAATGGATAGGGATAATGTGGAGGATATGAGCATCGTCAAAAGGTTTCTTGAAGAGGTGGGGTTGGAGGAGGGACAGAGGGAGGAAATAGTGGCCATTATTACAGGGATGGGTGAGTTTGTCTGTCTTTGTGCATCTTTCGATGAATTGTTATGTTATAATTGAAAAAGAAGCAACTTCCTGTAATTGACCATGTTTTTTCTTTTCGGTCGATGTTATAGCTCACTTGGAGCACTTTGGTCAAACTTTAGTTCTTTTTAGAGTAGTTCAAATAAAAATTTAAACGGCTGCATCGGCTTATTCTGCATGTTAATGTTTTCTCTGTATATGATGTTATTTATTAGCACTCCAGATTATCTCTTCATGCATCAGTTCTCATATTTTTACGCAATAAAAATAATTCATTGTGCTATTTCAAAGATTACTGTTGTTATCTGTTACTTGAACTGAATACCCATCAGTAGTGCTTAGTGTGTTGAGATTTCTTGTAACATCATTGCACAATGTATGCCTAATTCTTACAGAGTTACATCCGCAATGTTGACTGCAGGATTCAAAAATGAGGTTTCAAAGAAGCTTAATGCGGAGCCCACTCTTGAGTTTGCAATCGTGCAAGATGCAGATCGTCTGGATGCAATTGGTGCAATTGGTAAGTACTGCTCAACCATAAATGTATGTATCCGTTCTGCATAATGGAATTTCTTTAATAATTCCAAAATCATACAACTATGCGGAGCTCTGGTTATAACATTCTTTCTTGCACGTCCAGTCTTCTGTTTGTCTTTATTTTGGCTCTGCTGTTTTAAGTTCATTTAATGATTGTCTCAGCATTTGGTTTTGGCACATAGACTAGAATTAATTACAAAATATACCACTGTTTGTATATCTGCAAGCAATGCACACAAATAGTATGTCTAGTTGTCTAGCTCCCTGGCACGTCATTGATAAAACAAAAGCATCACTGATAGAATGCAGATGTAAGTCATGTGAATGTGGTATGCCGCTAGAATCTCAAGATGAGCTAGTACATGGAAATATCAAAATAGGACACATCCTGTGTCATTTATTTCCATGGTTGTACCTAATCTGACCAATGTTACAAGAAATGTTCTGGATCCTACTGGGTTCACTAGAACTGAGAAATGCTTACACATTCTCAGCTTTTAGCTATAAAGTTTGGCCAAAGAAAATCGAGAATGCACTTTGCTTTTTTGCTACACATCTGGTCATATTTTGTTTATTATTTGTCCCCAAAAGGATAGTCATATTTTATCTGAATATGTGGTGTGTCCCCTAATCTTCCCAATTAACACTGTAGGTGTCGCAAGATGTTTTACATATGGAGGGAGCAAGAACAGTGCATTGCATGATCCTAATGTACTTCCGCGGGATAATTTGTCAAAGGAGAAGTACATGTCCAAGGAGGAGAAACAAACATCAATAAATCATTTCCATGAGAAGCTTTTTAAGTTGAAGGACATGATGAAAACAGAGGTCAGGGCTGAGCTATGAAATAATAGTCCTTTATTTTGTGCTGTACGCTTGTCTTGTCTAAACCCAGAAAGAAATCATTGTCGCTTTAGACGTATTGAGCCTAGTAAGAGTAGTAGAGTTATGTTAAGGTCTAATTGGCTTCAGTTACACATAGCCTGCAGGTGAGGTCCAGCTTACTAATAATCCCATTATATACATTAATGTTGTCTATGTAAAAATACATTTCGTTTATAATCTGTGTCAGTTAAATATATTTTTAATGCACAACGAATAACCAAGGTCAGTCATTTAATGTACAACTAATAACTAACATTGACAACATCAACTGATACTGCCTGATTCATCATGAAATTACTTGCATATATTTTTTAATTTACAACAATTTATTTTCAAAGAAGTTGATGGTCATAATGTCATGGCGGGTATCGTTTCGAACTTTCGATGTTGTAATCAACATATATTTTGACATGCAGGTAGTGCTAAGTATAATCACTTGTTATAAGTACCTTGTATGGTTCTCAATATAAACACAACGCATATGCTGTAGCCTTCCATTATATATTCACACATGACACATAGTTCACTCTGCACACAGGCTGGGAAAAAGAGAGCTGAGAAAAGGCACAAATTCATGGAGAATTTTGTGGCTGAATTCTATGAAGAGTGGAGTGGCAAGGCTTGAAGTTGACCAACCAGACCGTTGGCTGGGAGGGCATGGCTTGAAGTTGGCCAACCAACTTTCACCAACTCACGTCGATAAAAAGCCATGGATTACCATCTGGTTTTACATCACTGTTCAGGTTCCCATGAAACTTTCCCCAAAACGCTAGAGCTTTGAATAATGAGTAAATGACAAGACTCTTTACTAGATATCCTGTTGAGTCCCTGGTTGCTGCGTATGATTTTTTTCTGATTAAAACTCTGAAAGATTGCTCTTGGTAATATAAGCAGTTCTATATGATTGAGAGCGCATTTATTTAAAAAGATCTCATCATATCTTGCAGGTGTTTTATATTCAAATAATATACCACTAAATATTTTTGCCGGTAACAACAACACCTGAAGCTATAGTCATGCTGTGCTTCACCATTACAAAGTACACATATACAGAGGTTCTACATTTGTTGGCTAAACTATATAGATGCTAACAATGCAAAACGAAACAAATCAAGGACATAGTAACAATATCATCAAAGTGTAATAAGCAGAAAGCCAAAAAAGAAAGAAGAGAGAGGGAAGCTTTTTTTTTTCCACACAGCATCAGCTTTTCTCTTGCAAAGTATCACCGGAGAGCACACCATCAGACGAGGCTGATGTGGTTCAGAGCTTGGCCTTGTCGTCCCTCTTGGCCAGCGTCACCTTGAGCCCATGCTTCATGAAGAGCGTGAGCGCCAGCTTGGGCGCCACCGGGTGTCCCTGGACGACGTCGACGCGGTAGCGGCGGAGGATGGAGGCGGCGGCGAACTTCATCTGGTAGTAGGCGAAGTCCTTGCCGAGGCAGAGGCGCGGTCCGCCGTTGAAGGCGGTGAACTTGTAGGCGGACTCGCCCATGAAGCGGCCGTCCTTGAGCCACCGCTCCGGCCTGTACTCCCTGCAGTCCTCCCCCCAGATGCTCTCCATCCTCCCCATGGAGTACATGGCGTAGATCACCTTGGTGCCCTTCTTCAGCACCGTGCCGTCGGGGAACACCTCGTCCTCCACAACCTGATCATGGATGGACGGATCATGAGAAAATTATGTACGGGTTATCATGGTGACATGCTAACTTGTTGACTGTCACTGCTTCAGTTTTGTTATGATGTGCTCTGACCTACTCCAGTCCAGGTAGATAAGGTTAGGTGATCTGACTAAAGATGCTGACATGCTGTGATCTACTTTTGAGTTTTGTACAAGCATACCGTTGTTGGCAATCAACTTAATTTGCAAACCTATAATTAAGTATAGTAAACCTGAGCACAGGTGCAACTGCAACTGAATTTGTGAGACACGTGTCTCTGTCAACCTTTTGATGGAGCCTTGCAACAAAAGATACCCAGAAACATCAGTAGACGACCAACTGACAACCTACTACTCTACTACCTAGTAGTATAAATCTTGCGTAAATTCTTTTTACACGTTAGCTTCATGATGATGCAAGTTCAAAACTCCAGTTAGTGAGGTGCAACGAATTAAATAGGAATTCGCATGCGTCCATCGACTTGGGTAAGAGTCAACCTCAGTGGCAGTATCCACAATAACCCAGTGACTTGTCATCGTTCCTATTTGACTCGAGGTACAAAATTGTACACATCGTACACCATCTAGCTAGTAAAAAATTCTACACGTCGTTGTTTTGTAGTAGGAGAAGCTACCTTGGCTTGCTTTAATTTCCTCATGCAGATGATGTGGGAGGGCTCACACACTTGGGAACTTGGTGTCATGAGGTCAAGTTAGTTCCACCAAACACCAACGCCAAATGCAAGGTCGCAACATGAGACAATCGTGCCATGTATAGCATCGTGTGTGCATGCATGAAGTACGTATTATACGAGCAAGATACGTAGTACGTAGCACGTACCTCCTTGTGGTCGACGGGGACGGACGGGTAGAGCCGGAGCGCCTCCGAGAGCGCGGCGTGGAGGTACTCCATCCGCTTCACCTCCTCCGGCTGGAACACCAGCTCCTCCTCCACCTCCCCGCAGCGACCCCGCGCCGCCACGATGCCCTCGACCTCCTCCAGGATCTTGGCCTCCACGCCGCGGTTCTTGCTGAGCAGCCAGAAGAACCACGCCAGCGCCACGGACGACGTGTCGCGCCCGGCCAGGATGAAGTTGACGCAGATGTCGCGGAGGAACTTGTCCGAGTAGGCGGGGGCGCCGTCGGCGCCGCGCATCTTGGTGAAGATGGTCAGCAGGTCGGCCCTGCGGAGCCCGCCGGCGGCGTCCTCCTCGCGGCCGGCCGCGGCGGCGGCGGCGAGCTCCTCCCTGCGCTTCCTGATCACGTCGTACGCGAACTCGTCGACGCCGGCCAGCGACCGCCGGAGCACCCGCTCGTGGCCCACGCCCAGGGCGCGCATCCCGCGCCACACCGCGGTGGGCGTGACGAAGCGCACGATGGTGGCCTCGGTGGCGTCCTCGAACGCGCGGGCGAACGGGATCTCCGGGAGGCCCTTCTGGAGGCACCCGGGGTCGGCGCCGAAGGCAATCATGCACACGTTGTCGAAGGTGAGGCGGAGGAGCACGTCCTGCAGGTCCACGGCCGCGCCGGCCGCCTCGGTCTCGGCCAGCACGGGCAGCAGCCGCCGGTGCACGAGCTCCACCAGCGAGCTGGCCGTGAGCGCGCGGAACTCGGCGGAGTGGAACTCGAGGCTGGCCGCCTTGCGCTGCTGCCGCCACACCTCGTCGTCGGCCCCGAAGATGCCGTCGCCGAGGAGGTCGCGCACGGTGTCGCGGAAGTAGGGGCCCTTGGGGAAGTTGCCGAACTTGGTCTTGAGCAGGTGCTCCAGGTTCCGCGGGTCGGCGGTGACGACGCAGTGCAGGTTGGTGAACCACGGCCCGCGGAACGTGAACGTGCCGCCGCGCGCCTTGAGGACGCCGGTGATCCACTCGTACATGTCGCCCCGGACGCCGAGGAGGAGGGACGGGAGCATGCCGACCACCGGCCACGACGGGAGGCCCAGCGAGCGCCGCTGCCGCAGCGAGTGGATGGCGACGAAGATGAAAACTGCCACGAGGACCTCCACCGTCTGCACCTGCGGGAGCAGGCTGGCAAGGCCGCCGGCGCCGAGGAACGGGGCCGTGGTGGCGTTGTGCGCGCCGCTCGAAATGAGCGCGTCCATGGCGCCCATGGTGTTCGTACGATTGGATATGCAGATAAAGGTGGTGGCCGGTGGTGGTGTCCTGGCGTGCGAGTGTGTGTGTGTGTGTGCGCGCGCGCCTTGTGGAACGAGGAATGTGTGATTTTGGAGGGGTTCTTGAGGCGTTGATATAGGTGGCCTCGTGGTGTGGTGTGGTTGCTTGATGGCAACGTATGGCCGTTTGATTTGGTGAGCTAAAAGACCTGCGACAACGAACTAATCAACACTTTTGTGGCCTTCCTTGAGCGACTCTTTTGACCGGAACCTTGAGCGACTCTCAACGGTTTAATCCCGAGGTGGCTTCATGGAGACTGATCTGCTTCTTGCGCTACAAATTGCATTGCCATTTGGCGTTCATGTTTCGGCTACTTTATCTCTTGCAAGCACTTATCATAATCTTATAATAGGAGTGATTTTTCTGCCATGCCCGTGATATATCGTACATGGATTCTCTCGATTGCTTCGAGATTTGTGCCAGGGTTTCTGGTTTTGGCAAAGTTTGCCTTGTATCACAGTATTGCATATCGAAAGTCCGTTGGTGCTCCCGAGAGCGCGTGCCTGCACACGGGAAAAAAAAAAATTCAAAGCGTGAAAAAACTCTAAACAAAAAATTAACGCATACATCTTGATATTATATGTGTGCACGTCAAGTTTCGGAGAAAACCGACAATTTTTTGTGCTTTGTGTAAAAAAGACAAAAGGATGTCTTGTGAAAAACATTTTTTAACATCGAATTTTATCTTTTTCACACGCGACACATAATTTGTCGGTTCTTTGCGAAACGACTTTGTGAGCATGTACAATATCAAGATGTACGCGTCAAGTTTTTGTTTGGAATTATTTGACATTTCAAAATATATTTAAAGCACATTTTAAAAACTAGGAGCGCGCGCTCCCATGTGCCCAAACGCCGCTCTCCAGTGCATATTGCTTTGTTTGCTTTTTTGTTTTCCTGTTCAAAGTGTATCACAATGCATCGTCGTGTACCAGTAAATAAGGTGCACTCGTTTGCCACGGTACGCAATAAGAGAAAAGAAAAACATTTAAACTTTATGCAACTCTAAAACAAGAAAAGCTTTGTCAAAAAACAAAAAACATGGCATGGATCTGAAAGTAACTATGAACGGTGGATACATGTACGGTATGATGTGCATGATAGAATGTCATTTCTAAGTCTAAGGACCAAATCCAGCTATGGACAACAAATAGATTTAAAACTCCAGATCACAACTGACTGCACTTTTGGATGTTTGAGGGCAGGTATTAGTTGAAATTTGTGACTTAGCAGTCTGAAAGTTGGGTGAAATCTAGATGAAAGGATCATTCCAAATTTGTGAAAGCTCATGCCAAAATTTGGAGGCTCTCTTATTGTAACTTTTTACAACTCTCATCTCTGAGACACATGACCTCTCCTGCCAACAAAGTAGAAAACCCATGCCTAGTTTTTGAAATGTGAACTTGGATGGAAGTACACACAATTTTCTAAGAGCAATTTTAACATGCTCCCTCTTACCCTCTCTTTACATATGAGAGGTTAGAAGGTAAGAGTTAATCAAACCCACTACTTAATGCAATCAACGGCTCAGATCTATTTTATACTCTTACTTCTCATGTGAAAATGGGAGGTAAGAGGGAGCATGTTAAAAAACCTCATTTTCTAAAGGTAGATGTTTAATGTTCTGGAAGTTATCTTCAAGCTCTTATTGAGGTCGGAAGTTCACAAGATTCATTTTGGAAGTCTGTACAAGAAATTGGAAGCTGCTTTCAATGGTCTATGAAGTATGTATAGTTGTTGATAAGGCAACCCTTCACCTACCACATTGTACGATTAGTTATACCTTGGTGTT